AACTGCAATTTCTCAGTTACAGAAACTGCGGGATGTAATGAAGAAAATCCGTTGGCCTAAATGATGTTTACGATGATAATTATTTGTGTATACATATAAAATATTTTAAAAAAGAAAAAAAATCAATATTTTACTTCGTATCATAAACAATCAAATAGGGTGGGCATTGCCCACCCTGCTCACCCCGAGGAGCCGCCACTGGTAATAACAATAACATTTTGTAACTAATTGATCTTAGAAACCACATAGTCTATTATAATAAATAATAATTAATTAAGCGCCCTATAACTGAGATGCCGTGTTGAAATTTAGATGTGGCCCGCTTCTCTGATTACTATTTTACGTTTCACTAATTTTTTTTTCATGACGGCTGTAAATGGTTGAAAAATTCAACGTTATTAGAAAACGCTAATATATGCACATTTAATTTTTTTACAAAAAAAATTAAACAGTAAACAATGGTTCTATGAAAACGTGAACAACGCTTTTTAAAATGTCTCTGTGAAAATTACATTTAACTGCAATAATTACACCGGAAGATTAGCCTTAAATCGTCAAAACCAATGCAACTAAACTGCCAAATTTCAAATATTTCACATTAAAGTCACTAGATAACCAAAGTACCGCAGTTCAATGTCCCAATGTGCAAGAAAGAGAAGTACCTTGCGTTGCGCGCCCTCATACGGTCACAAGACAAACGACCACCCATGAAAATAGGTCAGTAAAAATAACCAGTTGTCTCTACTGATTGATATCTATACTGTGACCTGAGGTCGAACAAAAGTCGAACAAAAATGGAAAGAAATATCTCCATTATAAAATTATTATTAAAACAGCATAATATATATGTGGAATATACTAATACACAAAATCAAAAAAACTCACACACTAGTTCTGAAAAGATCATCACTTTTATCACGTAAACAAGGCAAAAGATGAAATAACAATATGCCGCGAAAAACTGAAACGTATAAGTCTAGGAAATCCTGGCAAGTCAAATGTCAATTATTTATCAATCATATTGCATTTAAGATAGTAACCATGTTCGGTTGTCTACTTAATCCCCGAAAATAACACAGGCCTGCGAAATATAACTTTTAATTTCCCTTTTAAATAATATTGTTTTTTTTTTATATATTTATGTATGCCGAATTAAAATATAACTCTAGTTTTTTTGTAGCACATCGAAATTTATTTTTATGTAGGCCTAAATATTCATAGTTTTTCAAACAATTTTTATGAAAAAATAAAATATGAAGAATATAAAATTGAATGTTTATTTATTAAATGAACTAAATTAGTTGCATATAAACAAGACTTAAAAAAACAAATAAATCAAAAAGCTTCTTTTTTTCTTTCTTCAAAGCTATAATTTAAGCGTTTTCTCTTGTATTCACGATAGGATATGTTATTGCTGTTACATTTTTCGCATTATATCTTTTTATTTTTGAACAGCAAAAGTAACAATCGTCTGTATGATTTTATGGCTCCATCCAAATCATTGGTGTCAGCAAACTTATTTTTTTTTTCCTATTGACTATTTGCGAGGTGCATGAACAGTTAACACATTTTATGAGGCACCCATTTTTTGTCTTGGTTTTTTTATATTAACTTTAAAATAACTTTCGCATAGTTATTAGATAAATTCAGAAATTATTTGTTGTTGTTTTCTGATTAAATAAGTTCTACAAATGTAACAGAAGTTATCTGAAGAATTAACCCATTTCCGAGAAGACATTCGTAATTTTTGTTTAAATTCAGGGTAGTAAGCGCATAGTCGACACAAATAACTCTTACTAAGCTGAACACAAAATGAAATATCAACACCATTATCCATACATATTATTACCACAAAATCTAGAAGTTAATTTTTATAGTACTAAGAACAAAACTGAAAAAAATATTTTTTGCAGAAACTGTACGTGATGGAAATTTTTGCAATTTTTTTTTATACATGAGTATCTAAGACCTACCGAAATTACTACTTCATTTTGTTGGGGGAAAACCATCGCAGGCCTGTGTAATTACCCTGTTATAAATAAACGGCTAATAATAACCGGTTATAATATTATATAGCACGGCACCAGTGTTTAGTAATACCTACCTATTTACTGTTTTACACAACTTTCACCGGCATTCATTAAGTAGAAGGGTTGTATGTTATATGTACTAGGGTCGCTATAACACATAAATAGTTGCAGGCTGTTAAGTAATATGTTTTAAAGTTCATGATCATTGATCGGACTAGGTATGCCTGAAAAGCTATGTAAGATGATTTCCGATGATACGAGAACTACGTATAACATGAATGCAACACAATCAACAAAACTGTCAAAAATAATGAGTGAGAGAAGCCGTGGGCAGATGCTAGTGACTTATGTGACGAGCCGTCACTAAATTCGTTCACGAGAAAATTGTAACTAAAAAGACTAATAACAAACCCTCATAACTCGAAAATTTGCAAATCTTAATTAATTAACACGCATGTTCTAATCGGCATATAGTACCATTCAAATAGATAAACAAAATCAACTATCAATCCCCAAATGCAGGAACAAAATTCGCGTATTCGCAAATTGCGAATAACATTGCGCTTGCCAGACATTGCAAATAACTTGTACAAAATAATGCGCCAGAAACATCGCCAATCGCAATTACTTTCATCTAAAATTGTATCCAAACTAAAACAGCTGCAAACGAAACGCAGACGCATAAAAAACATCAAAGAACGCCGTTGCTTCAAACTTACTACGTCATCAACCCAGCAGTGCATCTGTGCACGCACACTCATCTTAGCCCTCGCTAGAATCATCCCCACTTCATCCCCGGAACTGGGAGTTCATCAGCTTCCCATATTTTTACCATATAAGGAAGCGGACTTACCGATTGGTCGACGCATCTCCACATTTTCATGACCGTATAAAGGCATATAGTACCACACAAAAGCACGGTTCTATTTCTGTCCAAAACGAAGCTATATAAGGGTGACTTTCCAGCAGGAAAGGGATTCAGTTTGAGTAGAAGTTTCCAGTTGCTGTCGATGACGCTGCCCAAACCGGCATCGAGATTTTTTATTATTTTTGCTGAATTTTGAAGAAATCCGAACTTAGAAGAATTTGCTGAGCCCGAGAGGAAGATAGAAAAATTCTCAATGCTGCAGCTGTGTAAGTCTACCTTTTAGTCATTCTTGATTTATCTTGCTTTCCGTTTTTTCGTCATGTGTTCTCGAGTTCGAATCGTACATGTGTAGCGTTTAATTTATGCGTTTTCTTCGTTTCGTTGGGTGTGAACAGTTAGCGCCGGCACCGAAAGTAATCTTTAGTGCTTCCATATGTTGCCGTTTGCAGGTGGCACGTTTAGCCTTGCGTCGGTTCTTGATTATTGGGGAGGATTTTTCGATAAATTACCGTTTGCTTTTATGATAATTATTCCAATGATTCTTTAAATTGCCGATTTAATTCTTTGCTTGCGACATAAATATTTTATGTGCGTTTTTGGAGAGGATTTTTCTGATTTTTACCGTTTGCTTTTATGATAATTATTCCAATACCTCTTTAAATTTGCCAATTTAATTCTTTGCTTGCGATATGACTATTTCATGTGCGTTTTTGGGAAGTTCCCGAATTGAAACCTTTTAATCTAATTTTCTTGCTGTTGATTATTTTATATTGAATTTTTGCCGTTTAAATATAACTCCGTTCTCTGATTATTTTGCTATAGTATTTGGAAACCTCACATTATATTTTATTTTTAACCGTCTCACTGTATTTTAGCGCATTTATGATACTAATTTCCCAATGTTTAACTGCATTTATAAATTATGATTGTTTATTTTTACATGTATCTAACTGTCCTGTAACCATCAATTTTTTCTCGTGAACAATTGTTGTGCTCGGCATATTTAGCTAATTAATGTATGTAAAAACTCATTTATCTCTCTTTTTACATGTTTATATTCATAAGTTGTTGTAGATTTAAGTGCATGATTTTAATCCGTTATTTTTAGTTGTTCTTATAATCGGTGGAGATTTCTTCGAATCCACTGAATTATTGGTTTTATTATTATTTTAGTTGTTTTAATGATTTAATTAATATATAAATGCCCAATCGCAATTTATTTAAATAATTAAGTAATTATTCGATTTCGTAGTTAGTAGTTTTTTTTTGGTTATTTATCATGCTCGTAATATTAATATTGTTTAGAAGGTATCGCACTTAATTAAGGATTTACCGAATTAATTTTTTGTCTTTTTGCATGCTGATTTTTCTAGGATTAAATATTAATTAAAATTGTGGGTTATGTTCATAGATTTTAAGAGTTTTAGTAGTGGAATATAATTGCGTAGCGCTTTAGAAGATAGTTTTGCATGTTGTTTTTTTTTTCGTGTTATGTGTGTGAATTTATTTTATGTTTTATTTTTCTGTTCATTATTTACACATTTACTCGATTATTCTTTTGACATGCTTATAATGCCTTCTTTTAATATACGTATAAAAATGTTATATATGTTTAATTATTACCTCTTCCCCTACATGCAGTTTAGCTCTTCCATTTCCAAGGAAATGGGCCTACACCCAAATAAATAATTTTGTTAGTGTCCAAAAGCTCGGCCGCGGTCAAAACTAATTTGGGCACGACACTTATAAAACAAGTTAGTAATATAAAAATTTGACGAAGAGAATTTTTTACAAACACATCATTTCATAAATCACGTTGCTGTCCTTTGGACGCCTATGAATTGCCTGTAGTGGGGGTTATGTGATTAGGTAATCGACGCGCACTTTTTTCTCATTTTCAGAATTTTATTAAATATTTCATTAAGAACAAACACATTTAATTTGTCTTATTTATAAAAAAAAAAATGAAATTTAATACCAAATGTTTTAACGATTTGTTTCATGTTTCCAAAGGCTCTGGTTTATTTCATATATTACATATTTTTTAATATACACAATATATAATAATATAATACATACATATTTAAAAATAATGCGTCTAATTAATTAGATGTTTTACATCAAAATTATAAAACTAATAACAGTTCTTGTTACACCATTATTCTAAGTGAAAGAAAATTACACAGATTTTGTTCTAATAAAATTGTACAACAATTCTTGGAGTGTCATTTCGTGTTTTAGTTTAAGGACCTGACCAACTTCCGTATAGTTTTTTATTGCAGAAAATACGTAAAGAGCAAAAGTAAAGGATTTCAAATATCGAAAGCAATGAAAATCCCGTAAATAATCCTAAAAGGCCTCCCAAGTTGGATATTAAATCAGAGGTACCATAGAGTTCATTTCTTTCCATTGTTGTAACCTGCTCGTCTGTCAAATAAATATATACAAGTGACCAAGCCGCTCCTGCTAATGATTCCGGATCCATTAAATTTCTTTCTTCCATATCCAACAATACTTTCTCATCGTAGTTCCCTTGCGAAATTTGTGCCCTAAATTTCAAATTTGTACAGGCAGGTTTACAGTCACAAAAGTCATATCCTTCTATGTTAGATTCGATTTGTACGTCTATAAGCGTAGCTACCAACAAATAAAATCAGAAAAGATTTAGATACATATTGAATTTATCCTTACTGTCAGCATGGAATACACACCAGAGAAGAGCGTTACCACAAATAGCAGTTGTATTATCTCCTATAGTTAAAAATTACACAAAATTTTATAATAAAATATATAGTATACTTACGCGGCATGAAATATGCAACACAGCCACATTTTTTTAATGTATAATTAGTTTGACATTCAAGTAAACAGTTAGATTGAGTATAGAATTTAAAATATTTCAAAGGTCGTTCATCATGCATGTAGCACTGTCTTTTTTCGGGAGTATATTTTCTGAGATTTTCTGATGTTTGAATAAGTTCAGCTTCCACAGCAACTGCCGCAACTTTATTGATAGGTATAACAATGCTATGTTTGCGAAGAAGAGGTACATCCAAAGGGCTATGAACTGAAACCTACAAGTAGAAAATATAATGTTACGCAACAAGACTTTAAAATTTTTATCTTTAAATAAACCGTGTAATACTTACTCGAAATCCTTGCACAATATGAGTACATTCAGGATCTCTCTGTTTTTTGTCAAACCTCATCAATATTTTAAGTCCATTGTCAATACCAGACATTAGCGCTCTTCTAGGATACGGACGACCTATCTTCCCTTTGTATCCGGTTTCCACATCAAAATAATCTGCAATTTTGCGAGGGACGTGATTGTATTGACCATAATTATACCTACAAATATTAATCAGTTATAAAGATTTTTAAGCAGTTTTCAACTTACTTGTGGTCGGTAAATAGGTCCTCTCGTCCTAAAATGTTAAACGAATAACATAATCCCTTATCTACAACAACAGGCGTAAATAGTTGTTCACACTCAGCTTCAAAGTTATAAGCACACATTGAAAACGTATCCCGTGGTGAAATTTTAGTCTAAAATTATAATTAGTGATAATAGGTATTAGGGTCAATTTGACCCTTTTCCTGTAAGCAAAGTGAGTAGACATTATATAAATTCCAATGATACAGAGTGAGACAACATCGCGCAGGCGAAGTCAGATTTTTGGAGCGCCAAGTTAAAATTAACCAATGAGCGACAGATTACGCATGTGTAGCTGGTTGCATTCTGTCAAAGAGGTTTGTTGTCACAGGCCTTTGCTCTGTTGCCGGAGTGCCGGATACGTAGTTTTGAAGATGCGTGCGCACGGAAAGTCACTATGGAAGTTTTACGATCTTACAGGAAAAGGGTCAGTAAGTGGGGTGAACTAGTCGGGCGTACTCGTATGCCCGCTTCGCTCGCTCGAGTGGTAATTTATGGGAGAAATGTTAAGCGAATTTATTACTCGAAAGGCGTTCATTAGTTCATCGTTCACTAAAATGAATTTAAATCTATAATTATTTTAAATTTATTGTTTCATCCAAATAATATTTCTAATGCGTTACACTAGAGAGCTAAATCAATAAACAAAAAAAAAACAACAAGGAAAACGCTGTCAAAATGGAATCAGTAAGTTACTAATAGGTAAGTGTTTTTCAAGAAGTTCGTGCTTTCGCTGCATTGGCAAGACAGGAAATAATTCCAAGCGCTTCGAAGAGTAAATACGAAAAGGAGTACTCGATTTTTAATAAATGGAGAACCGAAAAGGGGCAGATTTCACATCGTGATATTTCTTAACATGCTTAAGGGTCCCCAGTCGTCGCACGCAAAATCGGTTTCAGTGAGAAGAATTATTTTTTGTAACTATGCAACCCAAAGTACGGATGCACGGCAGGTAGCGACCCAAGAGAGGAGAGATTATGGTCACTGTAGGGAGTCCGTCATAAAATGCAAATCGGTAAACAACACCAGATAAGCTTATTTATTTTGAAATGAAGGGTACAGGCAATAACCATCGAAATCCATTTCTATCTATTTTGAAAGAAATTGAGTTGAAAGTTTAAAATGCTGCGGAAAATAGATTGAGAAACCCACAAGGTTCAGTCTAACACAACTTTTTATTTTCTTTATAATGTTTTAAAAATATGTATATAAAATAAACTGTTTATGTTCAAATATAACAGCAAAAAAAATTGGTGTAAAGTTGTTTCGACAGAACTTCCCTCGCACCTAAAATACAATGAAACATATCCAGCATTTTCGAGTTAAATTTTTACTTTAGGTACACAATTTTGTGATGAAATCATCACCATTTTGCAAGGACACGTAAATCAATGTGGGTTAGACTAAAAATAACAGTATTCCAAAAATTTCTGGGAAAATGGAGTGAGTCGAGACTGATTTAATCAATAGAATAAATTGACTCATTCATTAATTTTTTTGAGCCACCTAGGTATATAAGCAAATCTAAAAAAATATGAATGCAATGCTAAATTACAAGTAAAAACTCATCATATTTTGCACATTTTGAACACAGTTGAATTTATTCAGCAAAATTTTGAGATGATGTTATCAATTTTTTAGTAGCATAATCCTGAACTTGTGGTTTATAAATACATTATTGAGATTTTTCGACTTTTCGGTTTTTCGATTTTTCAACTTTTGATGTTTCAATTTTTTAGTATTTTAATTTTTGACATTTTCAATTTTTCCATTCTTCAAATTTTCGATTTCTCTATTTTTTTATTTTTCGATTTCTCAATTGTCCGATGTTTCACTGATACGATTTCGCAATTTTTCAACCTTTCGATATTTTAATTTTTCAATTTTTAAAATTTTAGATTTTTCGATTTCTCCAGTTTTCAGTTCTTCTATGCATATTTCAGTTTTTCAATTTTCGGAATTCATTATATTTCTGATTTTCCATTTTTTTTTTATTTTTCGATTTTCCAGTTTTTTGATGTTTCGATTTTTCAATTATACGATTGTTCAATTTCTCGATTTCTAAATTTTAGATTTTCCGATTTTAATTTTTTTTTATTTTTTCATGTTTGGACTATTTATTATTGCTAAAAATAAAAGTAAAAAATAACTACCAAAATTGTGACTAAAAATATGTACCTAAAAATTAATAGAAAATAGAACACATTGCTGCTAAAACATAAAAATTAACTGTACTGTCCCAAAAAAATCTATTGCTTGATTACTGTTCCACTAGTATTGCTAATTTAGGACGTTAGTATCAAACGCAGTGAAAGTATTAATTCTTAGTTAAACAAAAAAATAGTTGAGTGTCAAAGTCGAGTGAAACATGTGAGACGTGTGTAAACAAAAGCATCTAAATAATAACTATTTCCCGCAGAATTTTTGGAGGCTTATAGAGTCGACATTGGCCTGAGCGCGCTCCGGTCTGTGGATCATACAAGTTCTCGGGCGACGATGTATCTAATAACGAGGCAGTTGAAATACCTGATATGTCACAGCGCGAAAAGTATTTCTCAAAAAACTTTCAAACCTTGATATCTTTTTAATCGAACAAAACACAATTTGCGAACGCAATAATCCAGAATGGTGCGAAGAAAAATCCTTTAGACTAACCGAACGTTATTTTGGTAAAATTTGCAAAATGAGAGAACAAGTAATCTTATTGTACTGTGAAAAACATTTTACATCCCTGCAAATCTAGTTCGGCATGTACTCTCCCAAAATCTTTGCATAGAAAATGAAGCAAGGGCAACTGAAGCATTTTGCAGTAACACCAAACTGACAATAAGACAAGGCGGTTTGTACATTTTTAGCGGCATCGCTAGACGGCTTAATAAACAAAAACGCTATCTTAGAAATATATAAAATGTCCAATTTAAATAATACTTAATTCAACGAGATGATAAATGTTGGGAAAATAATATGATAGAGCGAAATAGATAGAGAGAAAAATTTTATTTTATGCCTTACTTCCGGAGAGAGTAAATTCTCGTTATTAAACAAATCAACCCATTAGACAAATTGTAAAGAAAAGATTGTACAATTAAAATTTTTTATTTGCATTCGCGTCATGTGTAGTTCATATAAATCTTTTCCCCTTCTAGTATAAACACAGACAGGAATAAATAGTAATATTGGAATAGGTTTACTGGAGATATCACGTAAAAAACGTGCCTATAATACTCTTCCTCATAGGTGGTGCGGAAAAGAATATCAAAAAATTAAATTTAAATAAATATGATTGTTCAGGTAAATAAGTGGTTAGTGAAGTGATGAGAATCTAAATCTTGTCAGTTTTGTGTATTGATTTATACATATATAGAATGACAGATTAGTAAAAAATACTGGAATAATTTTTTGTAAGAAAATGTTTTAGTAGAATGTATAAAATTATAAAAATTTGCATACTTTTAATTCAAATCAGTAAGTATAGATGCTTAAATACATAGTCACTGTTCAAATTATGTTAGCAATGAAAGGAGTCGACTTGTAAAAGAGTTTCAACAATGTTCGTAAGCTAAAAGTATTTATGAGTTTTATGACCTAGCGTACCTGGACGGATTACCTGAAAGGGTCGGTCGGCAAGGCTCCCTGCTGTGTCAAACTCGACCATTTATGGAAACGAATCCTTTGTAAATAGAGTTGCCTAGTTTCAATTTAATTTCATTATTCAGTATTTTTTTAAAACGCAAATATTTTGATAAATATAAATTTTAAACAAAAATGACCGGGTCTTCCCCATAGAGCTCAATGTTGTCTTTGCACTGATATAAAAGTTGAAGCGAAAAATGCTCTCTCCTCGTCTAAAAACTCAAACTCCTTCGAACAATGAACGATTAATTAAACACTAAACAATCACTTATTTTAAAAAATATTGTGTGTTCCCCAGAGATTTAGACATAATCTATCAATTGAAATGTCGATCTTTTTTTCAAAGTTGAAATTACGCCCGTAAAATGAAAATCTATTTAGCTCATTTTTCGGTCTGCTACTGGGGACCCTTAAGGCATATTACATGAGTGGATGCATGCTAAAGGTACATACAGTGGCCGACTTTTAACGCCAGGCAGCACTTTTTGTCGACTGTAAATACCTACCATGATATAATAATTCTTTCGGTATGATACTCGTGCGGCTCAAAATTAAACCAGTTCGCACAGTGACGTCACTCGGTGAGTAGAACTAGTGGAATTTCAGCATAAAAGCACGAAGAATCGCTAATATTTTTTAATTTTATTGTTATAATTCGTTATGTATTTAAAAAATGTGTTGTACAACCTCTATATTATAATATAATAATTATAATGCTGCATTAAACAACCTGAAAATTAAATTTACGTAAATTATCTGAATTAAATTGTAAAAACGAATTTAACGGAGTTTGATACGTATTTCTATTGTGTGTAACAAATTAAAATTTCGCGTTTAATATTATTTTTCGTGTACTCAATAGAAAAGTGCGGCTTTAATTTGGAGATAATTATAAAAAAAGTGCTATTTTGCTGGTTAGTAGCGCACAGGTTATCTGAAAATGCGAAGATCTTCAGAATTATCCATTTTTTGCTTTTTTAGGTTTTTATTATTGATTATCATGAACAGACTCGTTGTTATGGTAATTGTGCACATTTAACGTGAACATAATTATCTTAAACAGAAATCTACTTTAGAAATTCTGTTCTAAACTTTCAAAAACTGAGTACAAGAAAAGGTAACCACTAAAAATAAATACATTGTACTATTGAACTGTAATCTACATGTTAATTAACAATTTTTCTTGGAGTGAATTGTTTAATTGTTTTCATAGCTTGATTTTCGTCAAGCTATGAAAACAAGTTCGTCGTCTTGTTTTTAAGATAAGCAATTTTTGCTTCTAGATCTTCTCTCTGTATATCTTGATCTGTATTTGTACTATGTAAAAAAACATAATTAAATATTGGATATACTACGTCTTCAAATAATCGTTTCCCTTGAGAAAGAAATATACATCATGCAGAAAAAAACGTGCAAACGTAAAAGTTATTCTTCAAAAAAAAGCACTTTCCTTGAGTAAATAATGTTCAATATACCCAACAGATTTACTTGTAGATGCTGTTTTATCATCGAAGGCAGCACTTGCGTTATTGGTTCCAGTGCTATAAAATAAATGAAAATATTAAATATTTGCTAAAAAGAGTCCTATAAGATGTTCTTTGAAAACATTTTTTGTAATTGAATTTGTTTGATTTATATCAATATTCAAGTAAAATAACCTCTGTAATTTTTATCCTGTTGCTTTATTATTGGTCGAAATCTACAATGAAGTAAATGATCATTAAAATTTCTGTAAATCAAAGATTTGTCTAAATGTACTTAGAGAAGACTTTTTGTAAGCAGTTCCTATAAACTTTTTTTTTTTAATAAGAATATCCTACGTATGGTGAGAGATTGGGTCTGCAGAAAATTCTCTAAATCTGTGCGAAGAAAAGTGTACGATCCGGGTGAAATTTGCAACTTCAAAATGAATTTAATCTCAAGCGCTATGAAAAATAAGTTTTACATTACTCGAAAATGTTTGTAGTGAGTTTCATTTAGGAGCCATAACTTTATGGGAAAAAATGATTTCCTGGCTTTGAGTTCTATTAACAAATATTAAAACTACATATATTACATTCAAGGCAAAGAATCGTCATTAAAACCACTAAAATTGAAGTCGCTGTCACTGCTGTCTGAATCAGTGTTTACATTAGTAATTACTTCCCATTATTGCACTTTTTTTTCTCTGGACCACATAATTGGACCATTGTTCTGGGGTTACAGACTTAAGAGCGAGGGACCATCCTTCGAGGGAATTTTTATTCTTAAGAACAATTTCATCACATTTTCGCTTTGTCTGACCCCATACCATTTCTATCGGATTAAAGATAATATGGTATGGAAACAAACAAAAAACTTCATGTCCTGTTTACCATATATAGTGGTGCTTTATAGTTGGCTCTACACAGTGACAGAAAATCGTGTTTCTTCGCCCCCACAGGAATCCTAATATTTCGCTACTGGAACCATAAAACTAGATCGACTTTTTTCCATGCCAAATAAGGTCTCTTTTCCTCTAGTCTACTGTGATAACTAGCGTTGAATAACTAATAATGATAGAAGGTTCTTTTAAATTAGGCAACAGTGTCTGAAGAAGCCACTCTTTAAACGTCTCGGCATTCATTTCACTGTGGTAGTCCAAGGATTTCGTTTTACTTTTAAAAATTTTAGAGCAATTTTGTACAAATCCCTGCTCATTACCAGCATGAACAACAACATAACAATCTAAAATATATAGTTATTATATCAATAGTAAAAAATACATGCCAAAGTATTGTTCCTATATTACCCCCATCTCCAGTAATTCGTTTTACTGATCGCACGTCTTCATCTTGTCATGACTTCTGCATGGTTCCATTTGCAAAGTCCCACGTCTCATCTAAAAAAATAAAAGGTTTTCTCTTTGCAGACAAGGCATGTTCCATAGATTTACCTAAAAATAATTTTCTTAAAGTAACCACATGCGGTTTTTTCATTAAAGCCCTCCTGTTGTCATCTTTCTCTTAAGAAAATCCGAGGTCTTTTAAAAGAAGTGCCAAATTTGTCCTCTTGCAGTTATATATATATTTTGCCCTTAAGTCTGAGCCCAAAGTGTTTAACTTTGCAACTTGCTCCACAAAATATGTATATATATAAAGCTAAGATACAAATATTAAGAACAATAAATGCCCAAAAATTTACAGAAAGCTATCCTCCTGATATTAGAAAAATAAAGACAGCACAATTTAAACCAGGCAAAGGTTATTGTCTTACTTTTTTGCACCATGCCATATAGAACCAAACGAACTTCCTGCTTAATGTTGGGGTCTAGGTCACGTGTGGCCTTCTGGAGCCGATGTCTTTGTATCTTTTTCGGTGTTTCAATGGGACCATTTTTATATTGTAACACACGTGATGAATATTTGTGATAATTCAGACGATTTATTAGCTAAACGAATTTTGTGTTCCGATGGAAACATCACGAGTTGCGCAGCAACGAGTGGTATTTCCTCAGCGCAACATAATCTGATTTTAGCTAATAAAAGTCTGAATTATAAAAATATTCATCCTACGAATTGTATTTTGCAAGACTATTCCATGCAGTTAGTACTAAAGCACAATAATTATAAACAATTTTCGTCTGTATTTTTAATTCACTTTCTAGGTAAGAATTGTTGGTAAATGAACCCATTTTTTAATAATGTCAAAAAATTAATTTGTTTACATGATCGTAACTATAGTTTGTCAGGTTAAAAACACCGTTTTTTGACCCAATGGGGATGCTGAGTTACTGTGGCTTGCCGCGAAAAGCCCACGCTACAACCCAATCATGATTCGTTCTTAACCTATATGCATGGAATAGTCAGTAGAAACAGCGACAACGTAGTAATTTCAGTGTATTTTGTAGTGTTAGATTGCTGCCAACCTACATGTCAACTGTCAAGAAATCCCAATGTCTCACCGGAACTGCTACATACCGAGAGAACGAAAAAAATACTATAAAAGATAGCCATGGGTTTTATGATGGCATACCTGACTGTCAAAGTGACATTTATGACAGCTGCTTTCGTCTAAACCAATGAACACGTTTGTTATGCATGCTCATGTCAAAACTGACAACTGTGAAATACTACCGAGTGATCAGAAATGACAGTACTTTTAAATAAAAATGTGAACTTTTCTTGCGGTTATGTTGGCATAACGGAAGTAATTGTGTAACAGATATGTCAGTCATGATATGTGATAAATTTAGGTTGTTTTGGATTCATTTTGCAAATTAAAAATGTCAACAATCTATCAATCTTGACAGCGGACAACCAGAAACAACATCATGATATAAATTTTAACTACAAATCCAAGATTGCCAACAGACTCAGTCATTTCTGATCACGCGGTAGCATGGATGCCAATAATTCAGAATTGCCAACACAAAAATTTGCTTAAATCATTATGAGTCACCCGGTAGGTATTCATGATACCATATATCTAATACTACTATACTCGTATTGCTAACTCTTCAGAAGTAACATAGAAACGGTGTTCACGGACATAGAGAGACAGAAGATGTTGTTTTCTGTCTATAAGAGTACCGAGGGTCTGTGCGCATGTACACAAAATAGAAGCGAAAGTACGAAATGTCAAAACGCATCCAATCACGCTATCGACTACAAATCAACCAAGTACAAGTGTATGCGCAGTACTGTTTGGTACCACAGAGAAACAGAGAGGTCCGATATATTGCTCTGCCGTTATGTTTTCGGAATCTTTTGAGGCCAGTTAGCAATATAGTACACTTAGATATATGCATGATACAATAAATACTAGGTATGATATTGCGCACGTACGGAGTGGGGGAGTGACGTCACTGGGTGAGTAAACACAGGCATTTCGCGGGTATTCTGCGACGTTTTTCTGTCTTCCACGTATTTTTTAGAAGGTTTAGTGACTATAGGTTATGTTTTAATAATTTTATAAAGTCACAACGATGCGTTGTGGCGTTTTTGAGTGTAATAGCGATAAACAATCAAGACATTTTCAAAAAGACATACAATTTTATTCGTTTCCAAGGGACAAGTATGGGTTATTCCTTGTTGTCGTTCGGACTCTTTTATAGTAAAAAATGCAAGAGTGTGTTCACAGCATTTTAGTGAAGACGATTTCGAACGAAATTTGCAACACAAACTTCTGAATTAATTTCCTAAAAAAGGAAAAAAAACTAAAGTCTGGACATCAGCCAAGTTAGTTAAAGAAATTTGTTCTAGGGATAAAATCACAGAAATTAAGTAGGTAATTTTCGATAATTTGTCAAGTAGCTCGTCATTTTGTTGGTTGCTTTGAAAACGAATCAATAATTTTTTATTATCTGTCAATAATTTGAATTTCGCAAAATGAATCGTTTTGGTCATCATTCAAAAGCGGAAAATAACAATTGTAGCGGAGCTTCCAAAGTGCTCCGCTAGTACCCTCTCGAGGGCGCTGTCCTCGGCAGGGCCAGTATCAACCCCACCGTGCTCACCCCCACTGGAACACACCCCACCTGATGCTGCGTCACTACGCAGGTACTCCCACGCAACTCAACCCTGCCTATAAAAGGGCCAACGCGGCCACTTTTCGGGCAGACGGAACTTCACCATTTCCACCTTAAGGGCTGCACTGTCTCGGTCCCCTTCTGGTGAGCACTGCACAGATGGAACTCCACCATCTCCACCTTAAGGCCTGCACTGTCTAAGTCCCCTTCTGGTCATCACCAGGCCTGCACTGTTTTACGGTCCCCTCCGCCGCTTCGAGATAATTACCAGGGCTGCACTGTTTTACGGTCCCCTGCGCCGTTTCGAGATCATCACCAGGGCTGCACTGTTTTACGGTCCCCTGCGCCGCTTCCACGATGTCATCTCCAGGGCTGCACTGTATTACGTTCCCCTGCGCCGCTTCCACGATGTCATCTCCAGGGCTGCACTGTATTACGTTCCCCTGCGCCGCTTCAACGACGTCATCTCCAGCGCTGCACTGTTTTACGGTCCCCTGCGCCGTTTCAACGACGTCATCTCCAGGGTCGCACTGTCCAGGTCCCCTGTACCGCATCACCGACGTCGTCATCTCCAGGGTCGCACTGTCCAGGTCCCCTATGTCACATACACCGCCGCCGTCTTCCCCTACGACGCTCCGAGTTTGAGGAGCCGCCACCATTCCCGACGAGATTGCCACCCCTTCGAGAACCCATACCCACACTTTTGACTTGTATTTTTTTATTATCAATAAACCGCTGAGCTACCACACAATGCAATTAAACAGAAGACACCATTAAACACGGTAAAGTGCAAAAATAATGTGTGGAAACAGTAATTTTACGACGTTTTGCACTGACGGAAATTACGAACTGACAGCGACCACCAGCGCAGAACAATTGGCCAGAATTCTCAAAGACGAGGGTTATAACATGAGAAAATGTAATGGTGAGGAGTATAAAGAATCTGCAGTAAAAACCATGTGGAACGTAGCTGCAAAACAACTTCAGCAAAAATATCTCGATGAGTTTCAGAAGGAAATTGATCCATTTAAAAGTAAAAAGCACTGACAACTGAAGAGTATCAGAAAATAATAAGTTTGTGGGACGAAAATACACCAGAAAGTTTGCAGAAAAAAAATTTCGTGATAGCTTCAGTGGAACTTGCGTGGAGAGGAGGTGAAGCAAATAACTGTTTGTTACATTTCTATAGAAGGGAACGCGGAAATGATAGAAACCTTGACAGGTCGTATTGAATACAACCCGGTTTTCACCAAAACCACTTAAGGAGGCTCTCAGAAGTGTGCGGATAGTAAGTGGTTAATAAAAAATGCAGAAAATCCGGCAAACTGTCCCATTAGATTGTTCGAAAAACTAATTGGGAAAAGACATAATGGGATCAAGACACACCGGCTTTTCCTCACCGTCAATCCGACATGGAATAAATCGAATAGTGTTGGGTGGTATAAAAATATTCCTGTTGGACAAAATGAAATGTCCAAGTGGATGACACAATCAGCAAAAAGGACAGGTTTGGATGTTGAAAACAGAAAAATCACCAACCATTCAGGGCTACCGCACTATCCAGTTTGGCTAAAGCTGGGGTGAATGAGCAACAATTGACAAAAATTACTGGGCACGCTCATGCTAATTCTATTAAACCATATCTGCAGATGGATGAACAACACCACGAAAACATTGTTTGTGGCTTGCGAAACACTGCAACCACGTCAACTGGCACCTCAGAAGTGGAAGTCAATGAAGTTATGAAAGTTACGAAAAGCCAAGCGACAACGATTTATAATAACTGTGTTTTCAATTGTACTAATCTTTATTTGCATGAATAAATTAAAGAAATCTATTGTGGCAAGTTTATTCAGGAAATAATCTTATCGAATTATAGCTTGTGCTTTGAAATTATCGGTAATTGCGACCCTCAAGCTGAGCAAGTGATTACTCGTGTCATCTTTGACCAAAACCTCGAAGTGTCACTGGTGATCACTTGATCTCAGCTTTCGGGTCGAAATTACCGATAATTTCAAAGCACTCATGTAATTACTTGCGAAAATTTGAAAAAAAATTATAAGTAGTACATAATCGGCGTAATATTATCTGGAGAAACAAAACTACAACTTCTTTTAGAGATGCAAATGGTAGCCATCTTTGTTCAGTTTGTTAGATAAAGATGTTAAAATAGTTAAATAAAATTAGCCACTCCTACTTAATTTTCACTTACATCGCTTATGGTTTCGAAGAAACCGTTATCCAGGGTATTGTTTTCAAATTTGCAGTCATCACACGTGTTATCACAGACAACACTTAAATGGTGAAACCTCGTTAAACTAGAAACAAAATTAATGTTGGCATAAATTAAGAAATAATCATTTAAAACAAGAATTTTCACTAAAACAAATATAACAAAACGATGAAAAAATTATTCATGGAAAAGTAATTATCCGCTTGTACAATCTGTTACTGACAAGTGTGTTTCTGCAATAAAGCAAAGTTTTTCTAAGTTTTGGGCTACACTATCCAATTTAGGATAAATAGGTATATTTGTCCCAGTCTGACTGTCGACTGTTCTAGTTTCTGGCCTTGTGGTATAAATAACTGCAGCGTTAAAATTAATTAATAAATTAATTACTGTTTCAGTTGGTGTCAACATATTTTAAAATGGTAGACCTGTCATTCCACCCTACATACTGCTATTAAAATTGACATGGCTCACAGACTTTAATTCAAAAGTTATTAATGAGTATATTAAAATGTTGCAAAGAAGCGCATTTTCGCGGGCCGGAAACCGGGACGAGTATCGAGAGAGTTGAGGGCCACTCCGCGATCGTCGCGCCGACGCGGCTGGATAAAGGATTGCTGGTGGAAGTCTTGAGGAGAGAAGAAGTGTGTCGCCCCTCTGTTGCAGCTGTGGAGTTTTTGAAAGTTTTTCTTTGGAAGTGAAAACCGACCACCTAGCGTTTTGGGTTTTCTGCCTATTTGCGTACTGTTTTGAATCGTCTCCCTAGGGCGAAAAACCGTACCGCCGTCACCAGCATTCGGTTCCCACGTTCGAAGGAATAACGTTGGTATTGTCAGTCGTTAACTAATGTACATAGTTGTAAATCTTATACAATAATCGCACAGCCCCCAGGGAATAAAAATTGGATTATTGTTAATTTTCCTACGTTTTATTTTGTTACTTGTTTCCGCGAGCGCTCACTAGACCATCTGCAGATTCGTCTCTTCGACGTTAGAGCAGCTTCAATGCTCTTTCGGCGGACAGGGAGCTGGCGCCCGAGCACCGCCACTCCCGATCGAAGGCGCCACCCTCGGTGGCGTGAAGGTGACCGCATAAGCCTAGGTCGGCCAGACGTATTTCTGTTCAGTGGTACTTGTCGGCCCAAGGCTTGGGACTCAGTCCCGCCAACCCCACAGGTTATCGGTGAAATTCCGGACCATCACCGTCCGTCACCGGAATTTCGTTGTAATGTCATAACGTAATTCCTTGACCCTTTAAAAGTGATGGAGCGCCAAACATACATAATTTTTTATTCGACTTGACCGCAAGAAATTGCAATAATTTACCTTAATTAATTAATTTAATATCACAATCGACTTGTAGTTTTTATAAATTGTCAGTTTTTAAGTGATTTTTCCAAACGACGACTGCAGTTTAAAACTTATATATACTCTGTTCAAACGAAAGAGTCAGTGATCACGTGAAACCTGCATGATGCATTCTGGAGCCGAGTGCGCGTAAGATTACTGCCCCTAGCCCGTGTTACACTGTAGGGTAATTTTAAGTTCTGATTTTGACAAAATAATGTTTCCATCATCCAACATGATAGCGCATACAAGTGTAAGAACAAGCAAAAACACAAAAGACGAAAGCAAGGAGACGGCACAACGTAAGGGATGAGTCAACAATGAAGCGCACCGGCAACGAAATATCGGTATAGTGTAAAACTGGCTTTGGGTAAAAACCCTCCCTCAAATTTGTTGACCAACAGCATAGAAATAATATTATATGGAAGTAACTTAGAGAGAGACGCGCGTTGCCAACACAGTGGGACAGAGATAGGGCTCTCTGGGTGGCAAAACATTGACGCGAAACTGCAGAGCACTATGTTTCTGGCGGTTTCTTTCGTGCTGTCGCATGGTGTTTAAAGGTGTATTTTTGCAAATTTACGTTTTTTAGCCTCAAGTTACCTTATTTAAATGACTACAGTCTTCTTAAGTTGTATTTTATCGGACTATTTGTTAAACATCGTGAAATCGTGTTGTGCGTATAATTGCAAAGAACGTGCAAAGAAAGCAATCCTGTTTCATTTCATAGGTAATAATCACATATAGAGACGAAGGATTTCGTAATTATAATTTAAAAATTTTGTTAGATTCCCTAAACATTTCGAGTTACGAAAAAGATGGATTGTTGCTACAAAAAAAGGGAATTTTATATCTATTGATTATTGTTTTAGTTATTTGTACGTGGATTTAGAAAATAGATTTTACTAGAAAATTTCACCCACTTTAATATGTTTAATTTAATTAGGCACCCTGTCACTTTTATCGAAAGTTTAATTAATTTTATCCTAAAAATTTCAGATTTACCAGTGAACATACACTACAAGATTAGTTAACTTGTAGAAGATTATTGTGTTAACTGAATTCGTAATATATTGTAGATTCTGTATACATTTCATTTTATTAAAAGACTATCTCCCCCACTTAACATGATTTTTGTTGTTTCATATTACACATAATTTTAATGTAAACTGTAAAAATATAGTTTTCATTAACAGACGTTTGTTATAATTGATTGTTTGAACAAATTCGTAAGAAAACGTATTAATTCCCGTTCAAATGAAGTGTTTCTTGCAGAGACTTTAATACATAGACTGGCTGTGTCAGGAAAAACGTGAAGTTTTTCGACCGCCATATTGCTTATAACCGTAAGTGCGCGAAATTTGAATTTTCCGGTCACAAAATGCAATTTAAAATGTTAAATAAAAAAGACAACAAATTGTAATTATTTATTTAGCATAATAATATCCATATGTATATGTAAATTCCTTTAAAAATATTAATGTCCTTGAAACAAAATTAATTTCGTGAATTTTTGTCTTAAAGAGATAGCTTTTTCACGCTCAGTACTTAAGCGGCACTCATAACCTATTCCGAGAGTCAAATAATTTCTCAAAATTAATTTAAGCAATAAATTAAAATAAGAATTATTTACGTCCAACTAATCCATACTAAACAATGTTCATTATGTAGAAAAAAAAATTTATGGTCCCCACTTTGCAAAGTTAAGGCAAACATTTTAGTTACCAAATCATTTTTAATGGCCATATTTACAAACAATCTCGTAAGTCCCGACACACAACCACTTTTATTTCGAGGTCTAGAAACGTTCTGTGCTAGAAACTACTGCTGCTAACCACCACAACCTCACTTAATTTGACATAAAAGTTATAGCAATGGCGTCCATACTACCATGCGCCGTGGCTTCACCGAAATGCATTAGAAATGTTACTAACAGCCAGTCTATGTATTTAAAGTCTCTGGTTTCTTGCCACCCAGCACGTGATACGTGGTCAGCCGTCCTTTCCCCACTGATGCATAACCGCTCTAGCTGTTTCTTTCTTATGTTGATTACACTCGCTCGCGTATGGAAACGTATACAAGGCTCCATCCACTCCTTTATTAGATCAATGACCAACAGGCAGTTGAACACGCGCTGATCACGCGTCTTTATTGCTGACTCTTTCACTTGAATATGCTACAGAACTTATTTAAAATATATTGTAAAAGGAGGAGAGTATTTTCTTTCAACTGAGTCAGCAATTACAGAATAAGGAAGTAATGCGACATTAGATTTTTTGCTACAAAAAAGAAATTCAGCAAAAAATAGTAGCGAAAATTTGAAGGTTCTCGACAAAAGAAAATGTTCAATATTTTTCCAAACATGTTCTATTGATGGATGTATTCCGCACATATCAAAATACCGAGACATTTTTTTGACTCTGAAAATATCAAGGTAAGTATCGGTTTAATCCCTTATAGTCAGTTTTAAAAAATACACATCAACGCATTGGAAGTATGCAACCAAAACACATACTTGATTTTATACAACAAGAAATTCTAAGTTGGAATGAAGTTAATGAAGACATTGAATTTTCTTCTGTATATCACAAGATATTTGACTTCTTTTCTTCGGTGAAAATATCGTTTGTTTCAATTTGTTTAGTGATTACGACAATAGTTCAAAAAGTTGACATATTTTAGTGCTTTTCACTTCCCGAGCGTAAGCTGACTCCCAAATCTTATGTTTTCTAAGTATTTTCGAGTTGAGTCTTTTCTTTACACAATTTTGTGATGACCTCATCAAAATTTTTGGAAGGATACGTATATCACCTTGGATTGGTGCAGTGTAGTACTAAAAATAACAGTATTGTGTCCCCAAAATTATCTGGGAAAACGGAGTGAGCCGTTCCTAATTTAATCAATAAAATAAATTGACTCATTCATTTTTTTTTTGAGCCACTTGTTTAAGCAAATCTAAAAAATATGAATGCAATAATAAATCACAAGTAAAAATTCAACATATTTTGCACATTTTGGGTAGAATTGATTCGACAAAATTTTGAGCTGCCATGACTAATCATCCACACCAACAATTTGATGACATCACTTCAAAGTTATACATAGTAAATGGGTTTTAAAATCTATAAAATAACATAGTGCTACACATGTAGTTTGTTACTCCGTGTTGAGTTTTTGCCCGAAACGTCCAGATATTTGGAAAAAAAAGAGTGCGTCGACCCAGGGACGCACGGATGGAGTTTTAACTCTGCGTTGTCAATTTATATAAATTAAACACGTATACGAAGTCATTAATTTTCTCTTAAACAATAATAAAAGCCAAAAATATGTTGAACTTGTATTTTTTGACAAAATGATGATTGGCCTAAATAAAGTAAATATCCATATGTTGTCTATTATAATAATTAATAATATTGTATAAAATAAAACATTAAAGTACAATGTGTAATTTACCAACTAAAGTAACAAGTAAATATTTACAAATGCTAGAGCAGTATTTATAACTTATTCGATTTAAAATACAAAAAAAAAAAATTTAAAAAATGCACAAAAAAATACAAATTACTCTTAAATAATAGCGTTATCGCCTTCGGTATCTTTATCCCTATCATTGAATACAGTTATTAGTGGCCTATGGTGACTAAAATGAGTGATATAAATATCAGTTCCTAAATGGGTAATAAAGCGTTTGAAAACAGCATCAATTGTTGTACCTAATTTAGTCGTTGAAACAGTCAAACTC